TTACCAAACACCAAATAACTAAATTAGGATACAATTATGAGCCATTCGCAAACTGTTAAACATTAAACTGTTGGTTACTTTAAAACTAACCTTCATCTGGGAGATCACAGGGATGTCAGATTTATTGCATGGCTCGGGCAGAGAAAAGCTGTTGCTATCAAACATTGTTTACTTAATCAGTGGAGTCAGTGTAATGGTGAAGGGATAGATGATCAAATAGGCCAGTTGATGGAAGGTTTGCGAAGAAATTTCATGCTCCCTTGTTAAAGTATTTTTTTAGTATTTTTAAAATACAGTAGTTTATTTTGATACTTGTGTGGCTGCTGTATTTTGAAGTTTATTTTGATACACTTAAAACTAAGGTATTTGGTATTTTATTTTAAAATGCTTTTTGATGTATCTTTGCCCAACCCTGTGTATGGGACGTATAATAACAACAAGCCATTTGTGTTACTGAGTTCTAGATTTAGGCTAGATTTGCAGTCATTTGGATTTACATTTGCATTATAAACAAATTCATACAAATTCTGTATTGGGTGTCATACATAACCTACGATTTGAAAATTCTTCTGTACATATGTTTACTTTTTTGGTTGAAAAATAGCACCCCCTTGTGTCCAAAAGTAATGCCAAGAAGTACACATTGAAGAATTTGCTTCAGAGGTCATGCAGCTCAGGATGACATGTTGTAAATCTATATATTAACATTATATGGCTTTTTATCAATGGGTAGAGTTATTTTGTTCGTTCCTTGAATTTTGTGTCTTCATTGTGTTGACTGTTCAATTCATGATTCATAGGTTTTTGGTTGAATAATAAATAATAATAAATTCTATTAGATTCGAATAAAATGCATTTAAAGGAGTTTTCATTACTTTCTCTAATGCGTCTTGAGTAAGAAAAAGAAACTACTTTATTGCACCAAAAGTAATTTGAAAAGGCAACATTAAATACATACTGTTCAAGTCATAAGTTTACCTAAGTTGAGGTTACATGAGTTTAATATTTTAAATAAAAAATAAATAAGAGGGATTATAAAAATTGCATGTTTTTATTAGTACTGCTATTTTTAAAATAATATATTTCAAATGTTTACTTATATACCACAAGACAAAATAATTGAATTTACAGAAAAGACCCAGTGTTCAATTCTTAATACTGTGTGTTGTTGCCTGGATGATCAAAAGCTTCTTGAGCATCAATGAATGCTTGCACCTTTTGTATTAGTTGTGTGTGAGTCTCAGTATCATTCAGTCACTGTTGGGAAGGGTGTGTGAAGGATTTTTCAAAAGAAAAGTGGGCAATTTAACTATCGCAAAACATACAAACAGTCATTGATCCAGTTTTAACATTCAGAGGCATGTAAACTTTTGAACTGGTTCTTCTTTGTAAATTCAGCTACTATTTTGTGGACTATATAAGCAACCATTAAGTAAAACATTTATCTGAGGCAGTACCACATAAAAAAAACAACAACAAAAAAATCAAGCAATTTATGGTCCCTCTTATTTTTGTCTAAATTATTAACATTTCGCAAATTCTACATGGTGTATGTAAGCTTATCAACTATATTACAAAAAAAAGAGTGCAATATGCTGATTTTAGTGCTGAGCTAGCCAAGCAAAACTATTCCATATTTTTCATGGCCTGGAAATTACTTATAAACATAGCATGCTATCCTGAAATATTATCCCACAGTGAGGGGAAGGGGTGGCAATGGGGAGAATCTCATGAGGTATTGTAAGATATGCACCGATTTAAGTCATTCTTAGTTCTAAAAAAGGCTGAAAGGACAGACTTGGGGAAAAAAAGGTATAAAAGATATACATTATTTGTAAATATACAAATTCAGGAATAGCACCCAAATTACATAGAACCAAAAACCACCCCACTGACAAATGAAGAGATCATTTAAGTCTTTCAGTATTATTGTATATAATTCTTTATAAATATTAAAACATAATCAAACTCCAGATGTTCTCAATTCCTGAAAATGTATTTTCTATCGAGAACATGGCATGTTTTTAAAAGTTTTTTTTTTTTTTAAATGAATAACTTAAACAGAATAGTAAATTGTGTGCAAAATCTTGGTGCTAAAAGTCTCAAGTCCATGTGATAATTTTTCTCACAAAAGATCTGCATATGTAGTGAGTAACTGTGAAATGGCAGATGTGCACATAAAGTCTATTATCAGGGCAAAGGATCAGGTGAAAGAGTCATGTCGATGTCTATGTCTCAACTCTGGGCCAGCTCCAGTTTGTTTTCTGATGTTTTTGGTGCTTCAATTACTTCTCCACACATAAACTTCTCCTACAACGACAACAACAACAACAACAAAAAGTGTATATTTTAGGCTTTTAAATAAACTAACAAGAATTTGAACACATTTCTCATAATTGAACCTTTAAAACAACTGAGGTCAAATGTTATGAAAAATCATTAAGTAGTCGCAGTAACAGAATACTCTAAGAAGGTATTTTTAAACCCTTTCTACAGAAATTAAATGACTATATTTCTGTGTATTGTTAATAGCTGTTTATCTGTTTCCCCCCCACAATCATTTATGAATATTTATTAGCTGTAATCCTTAAGTTTTCAAATTCACGTAGTGAGTAACTGTGAAATGGCAGATGTGCACATAAAGTCTATTATCAGGGCAAAGGATCAGGTGAAAGAGTCATGTCGATGTCTATGTCTCAACTCTGGGCCAGCTCCAGTTTGTTTTCTGATGTTTTTGGTGCTTCAATTACTTCTCCACACATAAACTTCTCCTACAACGACAACAACAACAACAACAAAAAGTGTATATTTTAGGCTTTTAAATAAACTAACAAGAATTTGAACACATTTCTCATAATTGAACCTTTAAAACAACTGAGGTCAAATGTTATGAAAAATCATTAAGTAGTCGCAGTAACAGAATACTCTAAGAAGGTATTTTTAAGCCCTTTCTACAGAAATTAAATGACTATATTTCTGTGTATTGTTAATAGCTGTTTATCTGTTTTTCCCCCACAATCATTTATGAATATTTATTAGCTGTAATCCTTAAGTTTTCAAATTCACTTCAGTGAATGTTTAAATTAATTTAAGAAGCTTTATTATTATAATTTTTATCATTATACAAGAAAAATCAATAAAGAGTGACCAAGACAGGCATTATTTCTACAATAAAACAAGAACATGAATACTCATATTATTACAAAATGGTTACCAGATATATAACAATATAACATATTTTTCGGTTTTTAATTTATAAACAAGGCTATCAAACAAGAGGACTCTGATGTGATTGTTTATTAAATGATCCTTAATTTTTTGCAGTACAACAACAAATAACCAAACGACGTTGTCTATACACAAATATCAGAACATACTAAACCCTACCTTATCATAGATTACTTTTACTATAAGTGAGCAACTCGGACAGGTGGCCACTTCTTCACCATCCTCAAGATCCTCCTGAAAAACAGCAGTTTCCCCTTAATAAAATATTATTTCCTTCACCTAAAAAGTATTTGCCACTTAGTTATACCCTAGGTAGCTGCAGCTGACACCTATTGAGTCAATACACAGATGTATATTATTAGATCAATTAAATGTCAGTTTCTTTCTTTTTTTTCTGGGTTAATATCTTCTAGTTCTGCAGTAGTTCTTTAAGCTATTCCAAAAATGTCATCATTAATTTATCCGCTAACACAACAACATTGTAAAAGTTACAACTACACAAATTCAAATAAAACTCTTTAATAAATGACATATAACTATATACACGTTTACATTTAAGAAAGTGAAAATGTCAAGTTATGACTGTCATTCTGATGTTCCAGGAGAAACAAAACTTGCCTTCGTTATCGCAAATCTGTCACCACATGGACAAGGAAAATAATATGTTTCTGTTTCTTCATCATATTCAAAATCTTCTATTTCAACCTCGTCGTGAAACACCGTCATTTTAAATCAACTACTAGTTAAACGACCTCGCCGCCGGTGCTGATTCAACACATGCGCCCCCCAGTGACATAGGCCTATGTGGCGCACCATTTTTACGTTGTCAACTAGCGAATAACAAAAAAAAAGCAGTTTACAATTTAGCCACCAGGTGGAGACAAATTTCTATTCACCTTACGCTGCAACAAGTCTCATACATCTCGAGTAGCCTACATGAAATAGCTTTCTTGATGTAACATTAGAGTTGAGCGCGACTGGGGGGTTTCAACGATGAAGTGGAATTCACACTGCAATCAATTATTATTCAGTCAAATACAGGCATGCTAACTAACTTTCTCAACGCGAGTTGGTTTGATTTGCTTCCATTTGAGTCACTATTAAGTTAGGTTATATTGGAATAGCCTAATTCAATTCAAGTTTATTTGTATAGCGCTTTTCACGATACAAATCGTTGCAAAGCAACTTTACAGCAAATTAGGTTTCTACAATATTTAGTTGTAGCTTATCAGTGGTGACTGTCAATTAATGTACATATGGCAGAAATGTACGGAAAAATCAATTAAAACCTTTACAGTTAATCGGATACGGATACGTCACTTACATGGAGCGTGAAAATGGGCTGAAACTTAATTAAAAGAGGTTTTGATCTTTCATGGTAAACATATTGATACCACTTGTTCTGTGATTTCAGAAGCGAAAAAAAACAAAACAACTCTACCACACAGGTGAAGCTCCTGATTTTAAAATTTCTGAAGGGAGCTGCTAACAGAGATATAGAAAACACAGGTGATCTGAGAAAGCGTATTAAATAACTTTATATGCATATTTCACAACATATTTCGCCTATATCACCATGCATCTGTAATTTTCTTTAGCAAAATTATATATGTGTGTGTGTGTGTGTGTTTGCTTGTTAGTTATTTTAAAAGGGCTTTGATGTCCAAACATAAGTAACACTGTAAGAGCATTACTAAATAAGTAAACCTAAAAATGTACATTCTGTTATTAAATCCTTTTTTGTATATTTTGTAAATTATTATTTTTCTTTTCTGAATTTCGCCTCTGCTATAGTTTATTTATAATAAACCTGGCAATGGCATTGTATAATAAATATTGTTGACTCTGTGACAGATTGTTTATGTTGCTAGATTCTTCCATGCTGATGGCCGTGCACTAGAGTTGGAGCGTATCTCCTGTCGAAGAACATATCTAGACATTATGAACCATATGACTAGTAAGTAATACCTCAAACATACACTACCTAAAGTTTAAGGGTCAGATTTGTCATGTGTTTGAAAGATGTATTTTATGCTCACCACTGCTGCATTTATTTGATTAAAATACAGTAAAACAGTAATATTGTGAAATTACCATTTTTTAATAACTATTTTCTATTTCAATATGTTTTAAAAAGTGATCAAAGCTGAATTTTCAGCATCATTACGCATGTCTTCAGTGTCACATGATCCTTCAATCTAATAAAATCCAAGAAGCTCTTAAAAATATTAACATAAATAGTAATTTTTTCCTCTGGTGATTTGTATTGTATACCCAGAATGCAATGCACAGTGATGTAGATTCCCATTCTCTATCTCCAAGCTACACACTCTTACAGTGTCTACACTGGATGCGACAAAGTTACCGTTGGCTTTCACCGTGGACGAAGCGGAGTCCCCAGATCGGCTTTCACATGTGGTTGCCGCAAGCCCGCCAGCCGCTGCTTCGTCGAATCCGCCGGCTGCGCCGTTCTCAAGCCTGCCTGCCTCCGCTCACTCTAGGCCGCCGTGTGTTTCGTTGTGAAAGTTAAACTACTTTGTTTGGTCTTCCAAAATAGGACACGACTAGAAATCAGTGGTTAAGTTGTATTTACAACACTGTTCCAGAACAGTT